CATTGAAAATCTCATTTATGAAAGAATTATTGGCATCAAGGGTATCCATCTATACTGGAACACCTGTAGACTCTTATCGCAAAACAACAAAAATGAACTAAACGTACGAGTGCACTTCTGTCTCACGAAAAACCATACAATGCTTCACCCCATGGCACGAGCAATGAAGTAGCACCTCGGTTCTGATTGTCTTTGTCTATGTAAAGATAAACAAGTTCTACAACGTTTTTTTTTTTGTTTTCTAATGTTGCGGGATTACTTATTTACAAAATATATATTCTGAATTTTCTTTCTTTTGAATATTTTTATATATATAGTGTTTTTTATTGCACTGTTTACCAGCTGGTGACCAATTATTCCACACGTTTGCCATTTTAATTCGTTCTAAAATAAATTTTTTGCTCTAAAACACGTATTTTTGGAGAGAGCATTTCATTGTGCAAAGCTTGGCCTGCTGCAACGCTTGCTCTATTACTTTTGAAACTGGCAAGAACGATCTTTCCAAGAGATATGAAGAACAACCGTTTTCTCGCGGTAACGAAAGATTTAAAGATCATATGTTAGGAAAAGGTGCACCTTATACAGCGATATTTTGGTAGCCCTCATAAGAGATTTTCTCGTTCATGAAAAGCCATTAGTCTGTTTGGGGGTGCCTCAATGCCGGGTAGCTCGAATTTGGAGTCGCTCTCATTGGTTGAACCTTCACCCAGTTATAATATTGTTTTTTTTCCTTCGACAGACGTTGATTAGCTGATTCGTTGGGCTCATTGCAAAGATATAGTCGCTGTCCATTATACTGTCAGCAGTCATAAAAGATATATGGAACGGTTTCTTTGTTGTCACAGTGTTCACAGGGTGCGGTATCGGCCATCTCAATGCGGAAAGCGTAGGACAGGTGGCTATACGTTCGAGCAGAGATATATCTATATGCGCTTTTCACGAAGAAAGAAAAAAAGGAATGGAGCAAATGAAACATATACAGAAATGTAGAAATAATCATACAAGTTCACAAAATTTTGAAACGTGATAAAAGTGCATGAGCGCAGGTTCCCTCGCTCTTTCGAGCCACGAAAAAACTAATCGTGATCCTAAAATATGTTCTATCGATGACGGTTCGTTATTTCCTGAGACAGCACCAGCCTCAGGAACATTCTGAAAGCTTTGATCTACATACGTCTTATCACACAGACCTATCCGATGCAGCGCACAGAGCTTTATGATGATCAATAAAGAAGGCATGCTAGCGTTTTCTGTTCACGCAGCACTTTATTTACGACAACCTATAAAAAAATATCCCAGTGTCAACACAAGGGTGATTTAATGAGTGCGGTAGTGACAAATTAGGTAAGACTAAGTTTCTACTTCTAGTGTTGCCTAACTTTGCCCCGCCACGGTGGTCTAGTGACTAAGGTACTCGGCTGCTGACCCGCAGGTCGCGGGTTCGATTCCCGGCTGCGGCGGCTGCATTTCCGATGGAGGCGGAAATGTTGTAGGCCCGTGTACTCAGATTTGGGTGCACGTTAAAGAACCCCAGGAGGTCAAAATTTCCGGAGTCCTCCACTACGGCGTCTCTCATAATCAAATGGTGGTTTTGGGACGTTCAACCCCACAAATCAATCAGTGTTGCCTAACTTTACAAAACGCTGCTGCAACATAACACAGCCGCTTCCACTAGGAAAGGGGAATCCGCACACTGGCTTCTCGTTGGGAGCGAAGAATTAGGAGGGTATACAAGCCATCCGCTGATGTCTGTCAGTATAGCATTCGCCACCGCGTCCTTATATTCAACGTTCACAGTCGCTGCTCGAACTCTCCCCCCCCCCCTTTCACCTATGCGCCTTTTCATGCGCCTTCAAAGCCAACAGGGTGTTTACGCTTTGCTTCAGCAGCATTTGATAGAATGCTTCACTTGCGTATTAATCTTATCGCATACGCCCTCTTATCGACGTTGAAGAACCGATACGTTTGATCAGCCGTGTTCGTCACTGCCGTTCACGCGCTTTTACACGCGCGTATATCATACGGTACACAGGGGAATGACGTCGATGGGGGCTCCTTACGGAACATGACGGCGATGGTGACGTCGACAGCTACAACCTATTAATAGTGTATTAAAATTGATATCGCTGATGATTGATTGATTGATTGATTTGTGTGGTTTAACGTCCCAAAACCACCATATGATTATCAGAGACGCCGTAGTGGAGGGCTCCGGAAATTTAGACCACCTGGGGTTCTTTAAAGTGCACCAAAATATTGATATGGCAATTACACACAGCTGACATAAAAAGGAAAGTTATATGTTTGCTGGACTGCTATTTTTTTTTTTTTGGCCTCTCCGAAGAAGCCTTGCCGCTTGACATACATTCCGATCCCATACACAGGAAGGACTTTTGGTCATATTAAGTGGCAGATCCAATGTAACATGGGGATCAATGTAACATGGGGATCAATGTAACATGGGGATCAATCCCATGTAACATGGCGATCAAATTGAACTTTTTTAATTAAGCCAAACATTACGAAGTCATGTTAAATACACGTACAAATCTCGTCGATCAGACTTATGTTGAACAGTTTGATTGATTGATTTGTGGGGTTTAACGTCCCAAAACCACCATATGATTATGAGAGACGCTGTAGTGGAGGGCTCCGGAAATTTTGACCACCTGGGGTTCTTTAACGTGCACCAAATCTGAGCACACGGGCCTCGACATTTCCGCCTCCATCGGATATGTTGAACAGTCGCGTATACTTTATGTACCCAGATGTTTACAGTTGTGCAACAATGCCAACAGCAACATGGTTATTACCAAAACAAAAGAGGTAAGCGGATATGAAGCACTTGTGCTTTCGAGGATGGTTAGTGTGCGTTGACCAACTTCGGAGGATGTCAATGAAGTTTACAATTGACGCTAAGCCGACGTGAATCTTGTGTCATAGGATTAATTATGTGATGTTTATAAAATTGAATGGCAATCAACGCAACTACAATTACCGTTTCGCCAGCAATAGGGTGTTTTCACAAAGCACTTTCGAGACCTAACGTGACGCTGTGGTACTGTAATCTATTGCCACGCAGAATCTTCATTTAAATTCCTGCTGGGAACCCTAATATTTAACTTTTGCATTCGTCGGGTTACAGCAGCCGGCTTTAGTTTTTCTTGGCGCTCTTGCACTTAAATTCCAAATGTGTGTTTCCGCCGCTCCAGGGTCAACGAACTGCCAATCGGGCATGTCGTACACCCGCAAACCGTCCCACGGCGCATGTGCATATGTGCCACATGTGTGTGGAGGGAGGGACTTGACGGCGTGCGTAGGCAACGGGACTTGCAAGTTAATCATGTCATGACCCGTAAAACTTATTCGACAGGCTTTCTTACCCCTAAATACTAATTCTGTTTTACGCCAAGATAACGAGGCGATACACGAATATATCGCGGTATATGATTTACGGCGATATATATATATATATATATATATATATATATATATATATATATATATATATATATATATATATATATATATATATATATATATATATATATATATATATATATATATATATATATATATATATATATATATATATAGTGGGTGGGAGTAATAATTCACTGGGCCAGTTAGTCTTTGTGAAGGTATGGAATATGGCACAACGGGAGCGTTGTCAACAAGGATAAATATATTTATTTCCCAACAGTTTCGGGAGGGGTCCTCCCTTCATCAGGAGATGAGTTATCCTTGTTGACAACGCTCCCGTTGTGCCATATCCCATACCTATATATATATATATATATATATATATATATATATATATATATATATATATATATATATATATATATATATATATATATATATATATATATATATATACTACACATATATTGCCTTCTTACCTACTAGACAAAAATTAGTATTGGATATACGGCGATATATATGCACGTGGGCGGATAGATATGTAGGTAGATAGATAGATAGATAGATAGATAGATAGATAGATAGATAGATAGATAGATAGATAGATAGATAGATAGATAGATAGATAGATAGATAGATAGATAGATAGATAGATAGATAGATAGATAGATAGATAGATAGATACTACGCAAAGAAACACTTCGCATTCGAAAAGCGATGGCAAAACGTATAATTTTGATATATCCTATGCCTTGGTTCGCTATTCTTAGTTCGTGTTCTTTACATCGGTGAATTTAGGGACCTGAAAAGAGTGTAACGAAATCTTGAAAACGGGAAGCAAGTTTACACGGCAATACGCGTACGAAAAAAACGAAACAGCTTTGTATCTAATTTGATCGAGCATTTTTTGCATAGGGTGTTTGAAAGAATAAAGTAGGAATAACAAATGTACATCTCAAGACTGTGATATGCGTGCACTATTTGAAAATGCACAAAAATAATAAACATAAGGAAAACAAAAGACTCCTCAAGATCACAGCGAGAAACGGAAACTGAAACTTGTTTGTTTTCTTTCGGTGGCGACATCTTGTAGGATGCTGTGGAACTAATTCACAAGCTGCCTTAATCGCACGCGTGTGATTAACGCAATCGGCTCCGATCGCTGCCGATCCGCTTGCGATAAGCAAGACTTTATCAATACAATACTATTATCTGAAGGGCCGCCTTGCAAAAAAACGCGGTAGGAAACAATGTTATGCCAATCGCGGCACGTTGAGAAGGACTTCTATCGATAGCTGAGTGTCAGAACTACATACGCTGCACTGGCCATTATTAGAACCTGCTTAGGTCGCAGGCTTGCCTGTATTGTAGACGCTTGCCGCACCAACGATGCGCCTCGAAAGACGCTCAAAACTAATGTTAGTCTTACCTCTCACGTTTTTGTACGTCTCAATCTTCTTGCGCGTAGTTTAGCACTCAACGTCATCACCATCATTATCGCAATAACCACATGATTCGCCACTGCCATCGCCAACCGAGCCAGCGCCATCGCCCGCAGCCCCGCATCGTTCAGCGCCATGAAGTCGGGAGCTGCGTCGAAGCCGCCTTCGATCCCGGCAAGCCACGCGTCCGCGAGCGGCCAGGTCTCGTTTCCCGACGAGGATGTATGCCGAGACGGGCATCCAGACGGGTCCACCTGCACCAAGCGCCACTCGGTGCCGCAGTCCATCGAGCCATACGATGCGCTCTTCGAGATGTCGGACGATGGCTTACTACCTTCCAGCGAGATGGCACCCATCTCCGAGTACTACCCGAGCACTGTGCAGCGAGAGTTCACCAGCGCGGAAACACCAGTGGCCAGGAGCGGGGTCAGTTACTGTGTAAGGCGCAGAGATTGGAGACTCTTTTTACTTGTGCCCTCGCGTGACCAATGACGTCGCAGTCGTCTCCGAATGTGATGTACGGCGTACAATAGTGACAGATATTTTTGTCGGTTCGATGAGACCGAGAAAAAGAACTTTAACAAGGTTCTTGATTGGGCTGGTGGGTGCTGCATGGTAGACGAAGAAAGAGCTTTAACAGCGCAAACGACAGCAGGGGATAGAAGAGACGAGGACAGAGCGCTCTGTTCTCGTCTCTTCTATCCCCTCCTGTCGTTTGCGCTGTTAAAGCACTTTCTTCGTCTACCATACAGAGAAAAAGACCGAGAATTTGCATTAGGAAAAAAAATAATAGAACAAGCCCGAGCAGCAGAGATTAGGAGCACTCCAGCAATGTGTACAGAACTAGAAAAATGTTTATTGCATCGTGAAAAAGTTAGCTTTCTCTCAACTTATACTCGGATGCTTGAAGCAGGATAACTGGAATTATTAATTTAAAGAATTATTTTTCATATGCCAAATTTTAATTTGATTGGGCACTTGGACCACAAAGAAGGAGTAAACAGTGCAAACCAAAGATAAAGGAAAATGTAACGGAAAAGTCCGGGAGAAAGAACAAATATTATACGTGCGCGAGGAACGGTGCAGGTGCACGCTTCATAGTTTTTTACGTAATGATGGTTGCTTTTGCTGGTGACCCTCATAGGAGACAAATGAGCTACACTGATGCCGTTTTGTTTTATTTTCGTTTTGTGTATATTGTGCATTGTCCTCCCAAAGATTGTGTGTTGTGCAATAATAAAATTTTGTCGCCAGTGCAACGCCACCTTTTTGATCACAATTTTTGTTAATTCATACGCGTGACTACGGCATAATTCTGTTCAAAGTAAATTCGTTCATGTGAATTATTCTAAGAACACCCGATGGGTTTAGTTCTTGCCGTGTAACAGATAACGCCGAATTCATAATTCGCTGAACTTGTTTCCAATTATATCTCCCTTTGTGCTTCCCTTTCAGACGACACAATCGCAAATTAGTGGCCCAATCAGGCGCCTCATTGTGGAAAGGCACGATCATCGCTTCAGAAACCTAATGATTGCTTTTTGTGTTGCCGTAGTGGCATCAGCTATCATCGTCAGCGCATGCGTCACACACTACGTTTTCAAGCACGTACCAGTACGTGTGCTGACAGGATGTACGAGTCAAGCTTGCTTGCAATACGAGGGCCTGGTTTCTAGCTTTCTGAACGTAAGCGTGGCACCGTGCGAGGACTTTTACACCCATGTGTGTGGATCTTGGAGATCTGATCTCGGCAAGCTCGGCGTGTCAGACACGGCACTGACAACTTACCAGAGAAGACTAAGTCGACAAGCTTTTCTCCAGTCGGTGCCCGCATCAGGTCAAACGCCCGAGCAAAAGGCGACAAAAATGTTCACGGCTTGTTACAATGTCGTCGACAAGAAGGTTAGCTACGTGGAGTCAATCCGCAAAGTGATGTCTGAGGCGGGACTGCCGTGGCCTCACGTCAATTCCCGTACAGACATATTGCATTCCATATTTGCAATGTCGACCTGGCCCATTCCAGTTCTTTTTCGGATTGCGTTCACAAATTTGGTTCGAGGAGGCGGCCACCTCATCATCAGGTCAATCACGCTTGGCGTTTTCGCAGAGCACATACGGAGAGAGAAGGACGAGAAGCAACGGGAAGAGTACTTCCACGTATTTAAAAAATACTTTGAAAATGAGAAGTATAGAAGGAGCATTACCTATAATGAAACCCTGTCTGTAGAGAAGAGCGTGATTCCGGCACTTGGAAGGTCGCTTATTGGAACACCTAAAATCCTTCGAACCCACACAAGTGAATTAAACAAGACGGCACCCTCCGTTCCACTGGAATCGTGGCAACGGGAGCTCAAACGTCGTTTCAACACGTCTACCGCCAATGTGACCATCTATGGCATTCGTTTCTTCGAAGCCTTCTTTGAGCTGCACAGCACGCTTGGTGAACGCGCAATGAAGGAGTACTACGGTTGGTTTGTAGCGGAAGCCTTCTTGCCCTACACAAATGCTCACATTCTTCGCAAATTTCACGGGAGCGACGAAAGAGTCATGGACGAGCAGATGAAAGTCTGCCTCGGCTTCACGGGAGTCGCTGGTTACGCCCTCGACGTGAACTACTTGAAGAGCACCACCGACAAAAAGGTTCTGGAACAGGTGACACAGGTTGGAGCAAGACTCAAGGACGCCTTCCATGAGACGCTCAGGCGAAATAATTGGTTCCAAGAGGGCCTCGTCACTTTGCCAGAGATGGACCACGCCGAGATATTACTCGGCATGCTAAGCAAGTCCGGAGAAAAGAAGTGGCTGCCTGACATGACCGACGACGCGATCAGGAACTTGGAAGCATTGTCGTCACTATCGCTTGCCTCGGGCACGACAGAGAAAGCACCTTCTTCATCCTCTGAAAAATACCAGCCCGAGAATGGCCCTCTCGTCCCAGAAGAAGTTGCCGATCCACCGCTGACACTGGCGCCATACCATTTCTCGTTTCCTTTCCTTATGGTGGACGCACCCGTATCCGTCATCTACGCTGGAATCGACTCGGTACTAGCGCGGCTCCTCTTCCAGCACCTCTTTGCCGCCCAGCAAAGATGGAAAAGCACGACGCTGGAAAAACTACACGAACGAATGGGTTGCGTCTACACGGCCGACGAGGCGACCGTTTTGGACCGAGCCACGAGGGACGACGTTGTTGTGGTGACGGCGGCCACTAGCACCTTGTGGAATGCGTTCCTGTCTGCCGCTTCGTCAACTGGGTCAAACGTTTCGTCTCCAGCGACTGAACTGGATTCGCAGTTGCCGAAGCTTTCGGAGCGGCAGCTCTTTTTCTTGATTTTGTGCCACAGCACGTGCGGGGACCCAGCTGGACCAATGCGGTGCAATGTGCCACTTATGAACAGCGAGGCGTTTGTGGAGACTTTCTCGTGCCAGCCGGGAACACCCATGCACGCCACACACATGTGTCCTGTATTCCGTTAAAGACAGCGGGGGGAAAAGCACCGGAGCCGCTCTGTTCATATTATGATTCGTGGTATTTATTCTTTTTTCGTGGTGGTGTTTGCGCATGTACACGTCATTTTTACTGACTACAACTTCTGCATGTCACAAAAACGCCGCAGTTCAAAACTCAATAACATTCACGTAATTTAAACTACCAATGTCTGTATCGTAATAAACGACCAATTGTTGTGCTGTATCGAGGGAAACGTCGTGAAGTTACAATCACAGCAGTATTTGACGTTGCTCTGGAATCCTACACTCTTGCAATAGCATTCACGTAATTTAAACTACCAATGTCTGTATCGTAATAAACGACCAATTGTTGTGCTGTATCAAGGGAAACGTCGTGAAGTTACAATCACACCAGTATTTGACGTTGCTCTGGAATCCTACACTCTTGCACCAGGAAGCAAGACAAAATACCATGCGGACTGAGCCCCGCTGTGGTGGTCGCGGAATCCTGGCTGTGGCGGCTGCATTTTCAAAGGAGGCGAGAATACTGTATAGGCCCGTGTGCTCAGATGTAGTTGTACGTTAGAGATCCCCAGGTCTTCACCACACATCTCACCCAGAAGGCCCGGTTTCGATTCCTGGCGTTGGAAGAAATTTTGCTCCCCTTTTCACCATCTCGCTATATATCCCCCTTAAGCCTACTTTCATCCCCGCAAAGCGCTTAGCCGCGTCCCTGATACGGGAGACAGAAAGACGAGTCTTCTATTTTTTATTTTTTTTCTAATATATAGCCACTTATATAGCAGAGGAGCACGGGAGCGCGAGCATCTGTTGGGGGTTTAGGGGTCCGTGTGTCTGTTGTTAAAGATGATACTAAGGACGATAGCCTCTCTTCGGAATCTTGAACGCAGACATTTTCGTGATGTATGTATGTATGTATGTATGTATGTATGTATGTATGTATGTATGTATGTATGTATGTATGTATGTATGTATGTATGTATGTATGTATGTATGTATGTATGTATGTATGTATGTATGTATGTATGTATGTATGTATGTATGTATGTATGTATGTATGTATGTATGTGACACGATTCAGCCACCCGAACAATGTTTAAGCACTTGCTGAACACCCAGGCATCTGAACTGGTGGCTGCGTTCATATTTGGGAACATTGTTGATCAAAAAGCAAATATTGCGCAAATCTGAAGCGCAAAATCAATACGTAAGTATTAAGTGGTGTGTTCCTGTATTAGAAAAAAAATCAAAACATATCCACGGAGTGAATGATGATTACGGGGTCGAAGAGTCTATCCGTCCGTCTGTCGGTCTGTCTCTCCGTCCATTCATTCGTCTATCTTTCCCTGTGCCTGTATGTCCGTCATCCATCTAGTGAACACTCCAAGTACCGCAATGTCGCATCATTCCATCTATCCGTCAGTGCGCCTGCTTGCCTGCCTGCCTGCCTGCCTGCCTGCCTGCCTGCCTGCCTGCCTGCCTGCCTGCCTGCCTGCCTGCCTGCTTGCGTGCCTGCCTGCGTGCCTGTCTGTCTGTCTGTTCGTCCGTCCGTCCATCCGTCCGTCCGTTCACCCAGTGAACACTTGAAGTACCACCATCTCACATCATTTCATCATGTATTCATCATATACAAATACCGCCGTCAAGTGGACATTCCAAGAGCTAAACGAGAGGCGACTACCTACTACTACTACTACAACTACTACACACACATCGAGGATGCACCACCCATGGTTCAAGGAGCTTCGCCCCCAAAAAATTGACCATCTCCTGCTAACGGGAACCATGTGTAGATGCGAAGCAGTGGGCTCTAACGCTTGCACTGGCAAGGACGTTGACGTTGGCGCTTATCAAGTGAAAACCAAGTAAAGATGCCCTTGACTGAATTCCTGAGCGCGCGATCCAGTGCCTATATACGGGACACTGTGTAAGATACAAAAATCTTACACCATTATACGGGGTGGCCAGTGAACGGTTGTGCAGCACGAGCAAATGGTTTTTATATGTGAATGCGTTTCTTAGTCAGGTTATGCTAAGGCGTCCGTCGAGATCCACCCTCGCCCTCTCCCATGGCAACAGCTGCGGGAGCGCGCGTCCCTACCAAACGGAGCTCCCACCATGTCACACTTCGGCGTCGGCATGTCGTGGTCTCCGGTTCCTTCGACTTGAAACTTTTCTCTTTTTCTCCGCGCATCACACACTCATTTCACACAACCTCATTTGAATAGCACGTACTGCTTAACTACTACACGGTTACCAACGGGGCTTGGCGCTGGTTAACTTTTCTACCTAGAATGAAACATCCTTTTTGCTTCTGTTTTTTAAACGGGTGGGACAAATCTTCATTCGACAGAAAACGTATTTCAACTATAACGCCTAAATTACGTGCCTGTTTAACGTGCCACAATTAACCATCAGTCGGGCTCAGTAACGCATCAGCTGTTTACACAATATGAGCGTTAGTAAATTACAGGAGTGGCATTCCAAACGGAATATAATACTTATTGTGCGTCGAAAAGCGGCGAAGGTCCTCCTGAAGTTTCTGCAATCGACCCACCTCGTCGAGCAATTGTGACATTCTAGTGTGTGTGTAGGTGTTCGCTTCCCTGTAGTTCTTTCTTTCTCACTCCGTTTTCCATACTTTTCTGTCTCCCCTTCCTCTTTCCCCAGTGCAGGGTAGCAAACCAGATACTTGCCTCTGGTTAACCTCCCTGCCTTTTTTCATATCATGTACCTCTCTCTTGTGCGTGAATAGGCACAGTGTGTGCACGAATTGTTTCGTGAGCCCTGTAAAGTTATGGTACTGCCTGTAAGTGTAAGTGTAATGATATGGTGCTGCCTACTTCGACAGGAATCTACTTAGGCGCACCAATAGTTGATACGGCACCTTTCCACGCAATAAAATACATTCGTATCTCACAACGTTTATTTTCAAACTACCACGCTATACACAGTGCCACACGCGACCAAAACATTGCTGACATGTCGTGGAAGTACTAACACATGTCATACCATCATGCAGTGAAAATGCTATAAAAGTAAATCTGTTCAAACAAACCTTCATTGCATTTATCATGCCAGGACGGAAATAGTATGAGAACAGCATCACGGCTGGCGGCGGACGAGACTAGGACTCATGTAGTACGGCAGGCAGAAGGCTATCGTCCTTTGAACTCGTTTGCAGTGAAGCATGCAGACACGTGGCCACTTTCTTGTCCGCGGAGACGAGACCATGTGGGGTAGATATATGTTACTGCTTCGTTACAAAAGTGTTTGCTCTTCATGAATGTGCCCCCTGTGTGGACAGCAGATACCGGAAAGTACTTTCCTGTCTCCCTTCCATCGTCTTCGAAGCAAGCTACATACCAAGTTTATTTGTATTTTCTCCGGCCCACCAAGAACGGAGAAGCTGAACGTCATCAATCCCTGCCGGAGTCGGTGACACGTCGAGATGTATTCTTGAGGCTCGAAAACATCTGAAGTTCGTTTCAGCCCGTCTGAGTTTCTTTTTAATATAATCATCTGAAGCCTTTTGTGGCTCTGGCCACAGGATGGGAATCACTGTAGCAAACAACGGGAGGCTTTGATCTCTTGTGGAAAGTTTACCTTGATATTCTCTACATGAGAAAGAAACAGATAAGATCCACAGAACCAGCAGATCAGAAGGAAACATAAAAGATACACGTGATCTTTTTACCCAATTCCCGAACCTACTCTAAATGTTTCTGAAGTGAGTTCGATTGAGTACAAATTACGAGGAAAAATATTCACGTTTAAGTTCGGTTTCAGATCAGCTGAGATGATCTTTTGCTAGCTCCTAATTCTATCTGGCATTGTGAACAAGGGGAAAGACGCTCTAGGTGCCGACCAGTGCGGACGCACGAAAATGGGCTCCTGCTTTCATGAATGCTTTCCTGTGGTATTCACGAATTTGTCGCCGAGTTTTCAGTCCCATCGTGTGCCTAAGTTCTCAATAAATCAGCAAATACCACCTTTGTGCTGGTGAGTGGACTTTTAAACCATTTTTGGGACACTTTTACATGGCAACGCCACCGGGGGATTTAGGCCTAACCAAGGAGGCGATTGTCGCCGATGCGCCGACCCGGCGCCAACGTGACTCAACGCTCTGCACGTTCCAGGACCTGCAACAGAGAATGGAATACCGAGTAGATGGAGAGGACATCTCTCCAGAGGATTGCACGGAAGACATGGGTTCGAAGGAAGCCGAAACGAGACGCTCAAGGATTAAGCTAGCCGCGGTTAGCGTTCCTGCTGCCAAGAGTTCGACCAAGGCTGGCGTTACGGGAGACGCTCGAGCCAGTCGTAGTAGGTATGACTCCAAGCATACAACTGTGCGAGCTGGACGCATGCCGCCACTACCCAAGGACTTCAGCAAAATTGTTCTACGACCACGTGGAGGATAAATATCTCGAGAATTGGCACTGAAGCCGTGGCAGACGCGATAGTACTGGCGGCCGGCGCCAAAGACGAGGAGGCCATGCAGGACATCATCTGTTCCAACTTGCAGCAGAACATTATGGTGACAAGCACTCTGGACCAAGACAGAGCTTCAAGATACCTCAAGGTCAAGCAAATTGACATTGGAGGCAAAGTTTTCGAGGCTTAGCACGTACGCCATGGCACCCCACGATACTTGTAAAGGAGTGATTCGCGGATCCCCGTAAGCGATACTCAAGACATTTTGACCCGAAAGATTGTGAACGCGAGCAACCCACTCACGCTGCAGGTCAAGAGAATCAAGACACCGGGACAATCATCATAGCGTTCGAAGGACACAAGGTGCCCAGATTCGTGAGATATGAACCTTCACTTTTGCAGTGCTTCTTTACAGCAAGAACATCGATATTTGTTACGTCTGTGGAAAACTGGGACATCGATCTGACGCCTGTCCGAACCCAGCTGAAACCATCTGCAGAGGCTGCGAGATCAAGAACCCAGATAGCCTACACCAGTGCAATCCAAGATGCAGGCTGTGCGACGGTCAC